GTTGATGTAGTGGATCCTACATTTATATATAGTTTATAAAACCACTGAATAGTTATCAAGCTTGCTGCACGTTTATGAATCATTAACTAACATCGCATAGCTTCAACAAATCTTGGGTCTGGGTTGAAGTCCAACTCTTAACTCTTTCTCTTTACTCACAGGAGAGGAGCTTGGTAACTGAAGGCTCTGGCTCCTGTTCTACTTTTAGAGACTATAGGAACCACAAGTAGCCCAGCATTCAGAGAACGTAGTGTTCTAGAGGGGTAATATGGTACTATGAGCTCTTCAAGATATGAAGATAGATAGGTACAAGCTCCTTGTTTTGTCTTGGCTGGTCGCAGTGTTCTCCTGTTTGGAGGTACCACGTTCTGTATTCAGTAATTCTCCTCCATGTCTGTTTATGTTGCCTTCATGCAAATATTGGCGTCAAGAGTAGGGCTATGTATAATAATCTGGCGATACAATATATATCACAAAACAGGAGTAATTTATTGTATTGCAATATATTGTGATACCATCAGTAAGGCGACATTGCAATTTAAAAGAAATCTAGATTTAGGAAAACTGTCATAGTATAAAAACACTATGATAGTGTTTTTGATAATCAATAAAAAAAAATCACAAAACAAAATATTGTGATATGATATTTTGAGAGTTACATTTTAAAGTTAAAGTTAAATATTTTCTTTAACATGTTAAATAATAAAATAAAATAAAGAAACACATAGGGGCGGCTGTGGCTGAGAGGTAGAGCGGGTTGTCCAGGAGTCGTTGGCACCTTGCATGGCAGCCACTACCATCAGTGTATGAATGTGTGTGAATGGGGTGACCATTCATCATAGGCTACATTGTCAACCAATTCTAGAAACGAACACAAAACAAATCAGTTGGGCTCTATGTGTTTATTTAATGCACTTTTCTGTTTGTGTCTGTAGATTTCTCCTAAAGTTAGCATTAGATAATGAATGTATGTGTCAGTTTGTCCAACTATATGATTTGCTGTTTCTGTGTATGTGTACTGTGTGTTGGTGTCTGTAGCTGGAGGAGGAGCTGCTGGGCCTGCAGAAGAAGCTGAAAGGAGTTGAGGATGAGCTGGACAAATACTCAGAGTCGCTGAAGGATGCCCAGGAGAAGCTGGAACAGGCAGAGAAAAAGGCAGCAGATGTGAGTGAAGGGAGCTGATGCCAAGTGTCACATTACTGCAGAGAGGCAACTATATTAAGACCACATTAACCTATTGTACTCAGTCCAGTCACATCTGATCCCTCACACAGTAACAGGTGTTGTGAAAAAGGCACTAGGATGTTTAACTTGAATTACTGCACAGTTGTAAAATAATCAGTGACATTACTAGTGCTATAAACCAGTCTGAGCTCCTACTGTGTTTAAAATATGCACAGACCAGGGGCTTACTTTATGGTTCAGATCTAGGTAATAGTCAAACTTCGGATAGACATCCAGTCTAAAACCTCTTTGGGAAACTGGCCTCAGTTTGATACTGTCAGTCAAAATTTACACTCCCATAACTGCATCCTAACATGTCATACATGTCCAATAATCTTAACCATTTTGGTTGTGCTGAATCTCCACAACATCATCATTAGCTACTGCTGGGTGGCAGTCTCACTGCCAGTAGTAGCACACCATTTCTAACTATATATTTCTAACTTACCATGTAATTGATGGAATTTGTTGGTGTAACCTAGCATATATTCAGTGCTTAAAATGTCCAAAATCCTCAACTGCGCACAGCTACTTGGGGGATGTTACACCATTCCTAACAACCACTGTAAGTGTTCATTTAGCTCATCATTTAACTGTCAACCCTGACAGTATAACAGTAGTAGTATGTGTTGCCTCTAAGTTTACACTCACATATACGGTGCTTGATGGATGACATTTATACAGGTTTAGAGTGTTATGAGTGAAAGCATTTATGACCAATTATAGTGCAAAACATCAAAATGATGCAGGGAAGAGTGACGACTCGCTTTCTTTGTCCTGAAAGGAGTGAGACCTTCCTGTTACTGTGATGTTACCAAAGATGGAAAAGAATTTGAGCAACGCATTTGTTTGTCTATGCTTTCAGTGCTTACAGGATCCACCACTGTAGTTGTGTTCACTCCAACATATTTGCTTCAAGACATCAAGCTCTGTTCAAAGACACATTTGTGCAGCAGGAGATATGATGAGATTTACTGAAGAAGTCAGATGCCGTGTAAAAGTAAAAAGTTGTCAGAAAAATTTATGCTCCAGTAAAGTATAAATACTTAAGTATCCCACCTCTGCAAATAACATCACACTGCCAGGGCAGACATGATAAAAACTGAACGAAATGGGAGTATTTAATGATATGATAAAAGTGCATGATAAAAATATGTCAGGGTCCCGCAGCAGTTTATACAGACCAGAGGTTCACAAAAAATTTTAATTCAGGACCACTTCTGTGGAAAAAAATCAGAAAAGCACCTTCCCAAATAAATGTGTATCGAAGCCCATTTCCACCAATACAGAAAAAAAAATCTGTAAGTCATTATAATGACAACATTTCTCAAAATATTGACTTACTATCTCCAAAAAAGGACTTGAAATGCTTAATTTAAAATATTGAGAACGTTTCTCGTTATTTTGAGATACTAAGTCAATATTTTAGTGAGTTCCTCTTACAGATTTTTTTCCGTCACATTGGCTTTCACAGTTCCGGGGTCCGTACAACGTAGTTTCGTGTCATTTCAAAATAAGAGGCGTATTCTTACTCGCTTTATTTTGAAATTGTAACCGGAAGAATCGTGCGTTGTCTTACCGCTGACTCTGTTGCCACGGAAACACCGTGACACCTGGGAGAAGCGAAGTCTTGACAGCATGGCGACTTTCACTTCCATAGACTCCGTGAGAAGGAAAATCCAAAGTCTGCAGCACGCGGCGTACGAGGCAGAGGAGCGCGCGGAGGTGCTGCAGGAGGAGGCGGACATGGAGAGGCAGGCCAGGGAGAGGGTAACTGTCCCAACCATGGGTCTGAACCGCTCCGAACAACGCTAGACCGGAAACTGCGAATTCATCAACCAGTGGCTCCCGATAGGTTGCAGTTGCGAAAGATGAAAAATAATTCATTATTAGAAGAAATACAGTGACACTGTAGACGAAATTAGACTTACAGTCAACCTAAATGCAATCATCTCACGTTTGTCTATGACTATAATATTCATGACATTCTTAGTTTGCATTCAAACCCAGTTGTGAGACTGATATGTAACTGAGCTGAGTAAACTCTGCAATGTCTCAATGACATACATTTTTCCTAGGGCTGCAGAATTAATTGCAGTATTACGAATATTACCAAATTGCAAAAGCTGCAGGTAAAATGTGTGACAAACAGGATTATAATGAATTACTGTGCTGCAGAGATACCCTGACATTCAAATCTTGTTGTCCAGGTATAAAATTTGGTACAGGCCCCCCAAAAATTAACTTTATCATGACTTTAATAGTTTTCTAAATGAAAATTCAATTTGCTATGCAACAGTGATCATTCTTATGCTAATTGTGAATTATATTGCAATATCTGTCAAAATAATCGCTATATGATGTTACCATATCGTGCAGTTCTAATTTTTCCACGTTTACCCTAAATGTTAGTCCTTGTTTATCACTGTGACAACTAGGAACATCACAGACACAAAACTGAAAAGGCCAAATTATTTCTAGACTGTGAAGATTTAGGAAATGTATATATTTTTTAGCTATGAGTCACTATCAGCAGGCGTGATCTCAGTTTCACTGGAATTAGTCAATCTAGTCCCAGGTATCATATCGCTGATTTGATCTGTACAGAAGGGTGATCTGGACTGGTGTCACATCTCAGCCATTGAAAAATGTAATGTGAACAGTCAGAGTACTAAATCTGAATTGAGCAGAAATGCTTGCAGTATGAATATATCCATATTTATCACTGGGATGCCTTAAGAGTTGTCAGTATTTGATTTGATTTAAATATTGATTATTTTCTGTCTGCTGTTATAGAGGCCTCAGTTATCATTGTCATTATGGCTATAATAGGACTTCACATTACGTGTACTGTACGTGTGTCCCTACAGGCTGAGGCAGAAGTGGCGTCTCTAAACAGGCGTATCCAGCTGGTGGAGGAGGAGTTGGACCGAGCTCAGGAGAGACTGGCCACCGCTCTGCAGAAGCTGGAAGAGGCTGAGAAAGCAGCAGATGAGAGCGAGAGGTGAAAAGTTTCTTGTTAATTTATCTTAAACCTTAACACTCTGTGTCCTATAGTTTCCAGAGAAACTAAAAAAAGTTCTGTTATGTCCATTACTTCCTCTCTGTGTGAGTTGTTTTAGTTCAGTTGTATGCTACCTTCCAATGATCCAGCTTTGGATTACTATGATAAAACAGTACCTAATGAAAGCAGCTGTTAGATGTTGGGAGGCACACAATAAAGCACTTGAATGATTGAATGGTTCAACTGAACATCTAACTAACTGCTAGGGGGTCCCAGGATAAAACTAATTTTGCCACCAGTTAAAGAAATTTGGGCCCTCATCTGGTATAGCTGGTACCCCATGTACCAAGGCTGAGTCCTTGCTGCAGTGGCCATGGGTTCAAATCCGACCTCTGGCCCTTTGCTGTGTGTTATCCCCTCTCTCCACCTTTCCTGTCTATCCAATAAAGGCAAAAAAGCCCCACTGGACTGGGAGTGCTGGGAATTAAACCAGCGATCCTCTGAGCCACCTGAGCCACAGTTGCCCAATTAAAGATCCCCAAACGTGTAATTTCTCACTGACTGCTTATTGTTGTCTGTTCCTCTTGTCGTTCAGAGGAATGAAGGTTATAGAGAACAGAGCAACAAAAGACGAGGAGAAAATGGAGATCCAGGAGATGCAGCTGAAGGAGGCCAAACACATCGCTGAGGAGGCCGACCGCAAATATGAAGAGGTGGGGCGGTTTTTCATGGTCTTTGTATGACCATATACACATACAAAACAATTATAAACAGAAGCTGTGTCCATGTTCCACTAGTAGGAACTAATACTGCATGCTAATTCTGTAGTGTGTTCACATTGGAAAAGTAACTTAAATTAAGAAAATTAGGGATACTGAAAGAACTTTAATATCTCATATAGAGCACATACTATACACAATTGATCTTTCCTAAGCCTCACCCTGTTTGGAAACCTTGGTCAACTACATACTTTCCAGTACTTAGATATGCTGTGTGCTAGGCTCGTCTGTGAAAAGACACATTTTGAAGTGGTTCAAAGATAAAAGCAACATTTATTTACACACATTGTCCGTTAGTTTTGCTAGAATTTACTATCAGATGTAATTAGCTACCTAATGATTACTGTAGATTACCTAGCTAGTGTTTTGTTTTGTAGCAAAGAGCTAACTAGCTAACTAGCTAGCTACCTAGCTTAGCTAGAATGTTGACCGAGGTTCTGACCGAGACTCGCTCAACTGTCAATGGAGCACTGGAGGAACATTGGAGGAGGAGAAAGGGGCGGGACATAGGAAGGGTCAATTAGGATAGTATGGACGATAGAATGGAAACACAGTGTCAGTGTCAGTGAGGATAGTCAATGTGATGACAGATGCTCTTTCTACCAGAGTAAGAGCAGTTCATCATTCTGTTATTTTGGGGGAGACAGTTCAGTGTGTGTTGAATGTTTGCAGGTTGCACGTAAACTGGTGATCCTGGAGGGTGATCTGGAGCGCTCAGAGGAGCGTGCTGAGGTGGCTGAGGCGTAAGTCAACACCTGCACCATGAAAACTCACACCGACACAAGAGCCACTGTACATTATTCATGTTGTCATGATCGTGTGATCACTGCTATGACAACATGTCATCTTACATATTGACTTACTATTGATGAATTTCTTACTTCAAGTAAGATTGTTTGATATTGATTTTGATAGTATTGGGAAGTGTGCATGGGCTTGTCGATTAATCTACTGATTCTTTTTTCAATAAATTGATTAATCATTTTGGAATTAAAATATCAGTACATTGTGAAAATGCCAATCACAAGTTCCCAAGAGACAAATACTCAAAGAAACTCAGTTTGCCGTGTTACAGAATAGATAAAACCCTACATTGGAGACGCTAGAACCTATGGCATTTTTGCTTTGTGAAAGACCTAAACATTTAATCAATTATTAAAGTTCTTGTCGATTGATTTTCTGTTGATTGACTAATGGATTATTCACATAATCATTTCAGCACTAGTACTCTAGTGTCATATAGCCATGTATGAATCACAAGCTGTAGGACATAACAAATGCACTAATCACATAGATCTGTATGTGTGTTTTGTGTTTTCCTTCTGTGTTTTTATGACATGCAATGCCTGAATACACCACCATCACCTGTATGGGACTTGTTATATTATTATATGGCTGCCCTCCCCACTGTCCCCCTTCACCCTTGAACTCCTGGACTAACCCCTGCAGGCGAGTGAGGGAGCTGGAGGAGGAGCTCAGGCTAATGGACCAGAATTTGAAGTCCATGGTGTGCGGAGAGGAAGAGGTACTTACTGTACGAACTCCACCGAGGTCTAATCCTGACCTGCTGCCTTCTGCTCCTCTGACCTGCAGGCTCTCAGCCCCTCTCTCTGTTTTCTGTCTAACCTGCACTCACCCTCTCTTCAAGCTGTACTTAAAGTCTGCTCACATTCTGTATTGTCTTTCTTCCCAACAAATCCCATGAAAAGACCGAAAGCAACGGACATAGGGTTGGTTATCAGGGACACAGTGAAGAATAAAAATTGCAACTTTGTGCATTTGTATTTAGTTACATGAATCTAGCAGATGATGATGATGATTATGATAAAATTGCTAATTTTCACATTGTGGTAAATATGGACAGCTTTGTTATGATTACATTACTTAAGATCAAAAACTAGCGAGTCGATAACTTTGCTAACACAGCCAAACAAGTGCAACAACACAAAACATAGCCATCAGCCAATATTACTGACTAGTCCAGTAGAAAGTAGGTCTGCAGCCTTTAGGCTTCTCTCTTTTTTTCTCCTCTTAGCTTTTTCTACAATATCCTCTCTCTTTGCCTCTGCCATTACCATGTCCACAGAAGCTGCTGACGCTCAGTAACTTCACGGTCCATCATGAAACTCTGTAAATCACAGAGAGTTGTGGTAGAGCAACTGGGGGGGACCTCAGTGGGAAAACCAAAAAACATTTTCTCCATATATTGACATTTTTTGCCCCAAAATCAGTGACATAGTTGGTGGTGTGTGACTTACTGCTGACCCGGAGCATAAAGTTACATAGTGCAAGAACAGGAGTGCGTGGCACAGAGTAGGAATGACAAAGGCAGTTACATAAAACAGTTACATAATGCTACCCCTGCGTAAAATCACTTTGAGTTTCACTCGTAGATATTTTTTAGGTTTTTAAAAACCTTTAAAGCTCCATTAGATAAATAAAATTACTTTTTGGCATATTTGTTGAAACTTTCACTGTATCCTGACAGTAATACATGAGACAGATAATCTACATATAGATAATTTACAAGAATCCACCAGACCTGAATGATAACGACCAGAGAGTTTCCTTTCGGGCTGTGTATAGGCCCACCAATCACCACATGATGTGTGGCTACATGTGCAGCCTGTGAGGCATACTCCAAGGCAAAAAGCATCAATTATGCACTTGATGCTGCTCGTTATCTTATTGCTCTGAGTACATGGTAATAATTGAAGGTGACCTAGATCAGTGTATCAGCATTTTTTTCAGTCCTGTCTTGAAATATGGCAGCTGTACAGTCAGAGGACACTGTTAGAGATTTTAGTGAGAACTAAAACTAAGTTTTTTAATAGCAAGTGCTGTAATGGACGCAGATTTGTACTTTATTTTAATACATTTATTTCCACATATACCGTCCTGCTGCCCCAAATAGTCACTAGAGCACCAAAATGCACACTTTCCTCCTGTTTGAGTAATGTTTGCTAAAAAAAAACACAGTGACCAGATGTTTAAGAAAATTACTGGGAAAAAAAGGAAAAACTTCATTTGAAGTTCTTAGATAAGATTTAAGTGTACAGTATAAACCATTTGGCTTAGAACTGAGAGCCACAGACAGGATAGGGAAGTCACACACATTGTTGGTTTGGGTCTATTCATGGGATTTGTAAACAATAAGAAAAGTGTAGAATAACAAAATGTATCCATGCAGGTTAGTTTCATGACCTTTTATCCCCTACCAGCATTCTCTCTTTAAAAACACCCTGGCATTTGGCTAAAAACATCGTTCTCTCTCTTCCTTCTATAGAAACAGATTACTTTCTTCTGTCTAGACAGGCAAAGAAATGATGAGTGTCAGGGTGTGATTTCTTCTGCTGTCCTACTTTTCACATTACTGCTTTTTCTTCTGTTGCTTTTTTCCTTATTCTTACGTTGCTCAGTAAATCAGGTGACCTTGAGGAAGAGTTGAAAAATGTCACCAACAACTTGAAGTCACTGGAGGCCCAGGCCGAGAAGGTATAGTAGGAGTTGAGGGGTGTTCAGCCTCAGGACTGGCCAGTCTGACTGTATATATAATGTCCATACTAATGTGTAAAATGTAGTCTTAAATATACTTTAACTACAAAAGTCGGGCGCCCAGTTAGCTCAGTCGGTAGAGCTGGCGACCCAGAGTCTGAATTAGGGGTTCAAATTAAATAGAATTAAAGCGGTTGAGGTGGTGAACAGGATCAAATGTTTAACTAGTAGACATCACCATTAAACTCCCGCAGCATTAATACAAATATTTTGTATTATTTGTTTTATCATTATTTCATCATTTTTATGCATTACATATATTGTGTTTATTATGCAAATTAGTTATTATTTACTTAAAAAGTTGCTTTGCATACATTCCTATAGACATCTAAACATTGGATAAAGCCAGGTTCAAATGTTTGCTTAATATTGTTTAGTCTGTTTTATCACTCCATAAATCACAAGATACTGCCAGCAGCCATAAAAAAATCCATGTTTTTAGTGATAAAATGTGATATAAATAAGGCTGTAAATTACAAAACCCTCTTTAAAAACCTTCAGAATATAGATAGGAATAACACTGGAAGGTTTGGTGTATGTAAGTGCTATTAAAGTGGAGATTTCTTTCTTTTTTGTACAACATCAACCAAAATTTGAATTGACCAAAACATCTTTTCCAGTTGACATCTTTGTTTGAATTAAATCATAGAATCAGTTAAAATCTTTTTTGTCATGGAGTGGACAGAATATAATTTATCCACATGGTTAGAGATAGTTTAGAATCCTGAAAATACAGTGAAAGGTAATTAACCCACTTACTTAAAAATATTAAAATAATTTCCCAGAGTAATAGAGCAAAGATATGTTTTTACATTCATGAAGTCTGTCTCCTTTCAGTAGTTGATACTCTATTTGTGAATGTGTTTTAATTGGGCTTTGTTAATACCTTTTCATGTTATGTATGTGGATTTCAGTACTCACAAAAGGAGGACAAATACGAGGAAGAAATTAAAGTTCTTACTGATAAACTGAAAGAGGTAAGATGTTTTTCACCATTGTGTTACGCTGTTACTGTCTCCTCCATATGAACTAAATGAACAGAGTGCTGTGCTTTGTGTCCCAGGCTGAGACCCGTGCAGAGTTTGCAGAAAGGTCTGTGGCCAAGCTGGAGAAAACCATTGATGATTTGGAAGGTATTCAACACTCACCTGTTGTCTCTGCTAGTACTTCCACTGACACTAGTAACATGTTTGCTTGCCGTCCTGCAGTGAAAGATGTTCAAACAGCTAAAGTAACAAACAGCTTCACTAATTCCACACCTGCTGTTGGAACAGAACTGCTGACTGGCTGCACAGTTTTTAATGGGGAAGCCACTGATGATTGGAAGAACCAATCAGTTCTTACTCTGGTCATTTGGTTCAGTTTATTTGTCTGGTTATGTGACCTGAGAATTGACTTGTACTTACTGTGTAAATATACAGCGGTCACCAGTTCAACTTACCCAATGACAGAATTATAATACTGAGATAAGAGTGCACGTACCAAGCATATTACTGTATTTCAGTGGCTATAGTGACCTTAGTTTTAAAGCTAAAGTGAAGATACTGGTGAAGGTAGAAGAGTCGAGGCATCCATTGGTACCATGTCAACATTGCTTGTCAGGAAAGTACATTTTCCAATTTTCAGTAAATTTGGTGACGGCTGTGGCTCAGAGGCACAGCTGGTTGTCCACTAATTGGAAGGTTGTTGGTTCGATCCCCGGCTCCTCCCACCACATGTCGAAGTATCCTT